GTGTGAATGGGCTCCTGGCCTCTCCCAGTTTGTATGCATGTAAGCTCCAAGCCCACAAGGTCAAGGTGAATCAAACTGCAGAAATTAAAGCAAGCATTCCCACCATTTGGTAGGCATCTTGTTGGTATTCCATGAGATCCCAAGATAATACAATGTTATTTACTCATTTTTAAAAAAAGATTTCTCAGCTGTGCTCTCAAGGGTATTCTTGAGGAAAGGAAACAAGCAGCTTTAGTGCTATGATTTCCCCATCCCCCAAGTTTCCACTGCCAAAGGATGAACTTTAGGAGTTCTTTGCAATGGGAAGTTGTTCCATGGGCAAATTTATACAGATGACTGTTAACATGAAAACAGATGTTCATATTATTTATGGAACTTAAATATAATGAAATGATATATCAAGTATGTGGTTCCCTAACAAGCTGTTAACTTATTTTAAAAAACTATTAGGAAGAAGGGCATTTTTCCCCTCTCTTTCTTACTAGTTGGTTGCCAAAAGCAAACTTGACATGTTTCTGCTCGTGTGTGTGAAAAAAGAAACCATGTGTTCATGCCTTGGGAGTGAACGATTCCTTGTTATAGTAAATATGTTTTCTAGCTCTAAGAGCAATACAAAAACTAAAGGATTTGTGCTTTGAAAACTTTCTGGTACAGAAGCAGCCAAGGAGGGTATATTACTACAGACTGGAACTTCAGGCTTTCCACCCAGTGAATCTTTTACTTGACTGGAACTGAGATGCTGACTCCATATCTCCTTATAGTTAGAGATTCTGATGAATATTACAATCTAGACCAGGGGTAGGCAACCTTTCCCCTTTAAGGGCCGAGGGACTTCAGTTCTCAGAACATGGGACTATTGGCCAACATGGCTGAGGCTTCTGGGAGCGGAAGTCCCTCGGCCCTTAAAGGGGAAAGGTTGCCTACCCCTGATCTAGACCTTCCAACCTTTCCAATTTGGCAGGGACAGACCTGACTAATCCTCTGTCAGCCCATGTTAACCTCTGGAGTGTCCCATTTTCCCTATCTGGGCTTTACTGCAACTTTATAAAAACAAGGGGAAAATAAGGTTCCAGGAAGCCTTAGAAGGTTTTATGGTTGGGAACGACGGCGATTCTGTCGAAACCCTGGTAAATACCTGGAATAACGATCTTACCAGGGCGATAGACATTATCGCTCCCGAGCGTCCTTTCCAGCCTGCTTCTAATAAAAAACCATGGTTTACAGAAAATCTTCGTTTAATGAAGCGGGCTGTGAAACAAGTAGAGCGCTGCTGGCGGAAACATCGACGTTTAGCTGACAAGACACGTCATAGGAACA